CCTCCTGCTCCTTCCCTGGCCGTGGTTTCAGAATGCCGAAGCCGCCATAGTCCAGGATCTCAAAGCTGTTGAGCGTTATTAGGTTCAGGTATTTGTTAAGGATGATCTCGTCCACCATGGGTCTCTTCTTGATGGTGGTCATGCCGTGGTCAGAGGTAATGATGACGTTCAGGCTGTTGGTCAGGCCGTGTTGTTGAATGGCCCTCCTGAGGTAGCCAATGGTACGGTCGATTTGCTGGATGATTTTCTTCCTGTCCGGATGATTTGGACCCTTGGCGTGGCCCACGTTGTCCGGCTCACCGTAGTACAGTGCCACAAAGTCAAAGTCCTCCTCTGAGAACCAGCTCATCACCTTGTCAATGTTTTGAATCCACTCTGTCTCGTTGTCGTCTGGATGGCCGGAGTTCTGCACCACGACTCTGTTGACTGCCTGACCGCTGTAGTTGGCGCCCCCTCCAGGGAAAAAGAAGGAAGCAGTTTTCAAACCCTGGAACACAAAGAATCTTAGTTCAGCTGACTGGATGATTCCTATGACAGTGGTTTCACAGCCAGTGACTCACCTGGTCCTGTGCTGTGATCCATAAGGGCAGAGTTCCGTTGTCCCACCACTCCGACTTTGTCAGAGTTGTTTTGTGTGGAACTTTCAGGTTGGTCTCTGTGTCGTACATCATGTTGTGAACCACCTCATGGTCCTCAACCCACCGGCCTGAGGCACAGAAAACTCTGATTACAATCACAACGATCCTACGTCATGATTCTCTCTGTGGACTTTGGTCTGTGAGCTAAAATCACTGGTTTTCTCTATGGACTTTGGTGTAGAAACGTGAGTGCACTACAAACTTCAGTATTCTGTTCCTGTGGTGTTGGTATTTGTTACCTGTGATTGTGGTGAAGTGAGATGGTGAAGTCATGGTCAGCATTGGGGGGGTGAGGTACTTGGCCTTGACGCCGTCCACCACCAGCTGGTCCAGGTTGGGGGTATCCACATCTTGGTCGTAGTCCCACCTAAAACCATCAAATGAGATCAGCAGCAGTTTGTTCCTGTCGATGGAGTTGCTCAGAGTCTTGGCAGCGACGCACGCCGCTGCGGAGAGCAGTACGAGCTGTTGCAGCATCTTCATCCTGGTCCAGACTGAAGCTGCCGACTCCTGTGGTGTTGGTATTTGTTACCTGTGATTGTGGTGAAGTGAGATGGTGAAGTCATGGTCAGCATTGGGGGGGTGAGGTACTTGGCCTTGACGCCGTCCACCACCAGCTGGTCCAGGTTGGGGGTATCCACATCTTGGTCGTAGTCCCACCTAAAACCATCAAATGAGATCAGCAGCAGTTTGTTCCTGTCGATGGAGTTGCTCAGAGTCTTGGCAGCGACGCACGCCGCTGCGGAGAGCAGTACGAGCTGTTGCAGCATCTTCATCCTGGTCCAGACTGAAGCTGCCGACCTGAACACTCACACACACACACACTCTTACCTGTTGCCAGGTTGATGTGTAACCAGCATTTTCTGATACAGATCTGCTGATCCCAGTGAAGGACGGAAACCTTCGACTGAAGTGATAGCCTTTAATCAATGAGCTGATAAACCTCAGTGAACCTGAGCAACAGTTTCAGGAGCGCTGGCATATTCTTCAGGTTGTGTCATCACACGTAGAAAACCTTAGAAAAACTGTTGTTGTTGAAGGACCTTTAAAGTACCAGGTGGAACAAGTACTTTACTGATACAGCCCCCGAGATCCAGGTACTGATGGGACTGTTTGAGGATGTCAGAGATGCAAATTCAGGAGAGTGGTTATTGCAACATGATATGGAATCTCACACACACACACACACACACACACACACTCACCCAATGATAGTCCAAGTCAAAGATCAAACTCTGCTCTGAACCAATGTTTCTCTCCTTTATCTGATTAATTATAAATATGCTGTTGTCAAATCATTACATTGTTGTAATTAATCATTGAACCACAAACACACACACACACACACAGTGTGTGCGTGACAGTGGAGTTAAACATTTGACCTTGACCTCGATGATGTAAATGGCATGATGCACTGATCACTGTTAATATTTTATATTTATTATACACCATATTTGACATGATACATACAGGGTGGAACCATAAAAAAATTAAATATAAAAAAAATGTGATGACTGTTGTTTGAGCTGCTTTGTTGTTTTTCATTTAAAAAAAAATATACCTGTGTTGTATATAGTTTACTAATGTAAGATATAAAATTAATAAGTTAACCAATGTTCCAAATATACTATATGTGTATTTTCGTTTAAAATGCGTTGTCCTGATGATGATTGTTATTAACCAATACCACTACGAGTATTCTTATTTGTGTACTTGATAATAATTAACCAATACCACTACGAGTATTCTTTGTGTACTTGATAATTGGGTGACGTGCAGTGTGTGTGAGCTCCGAGAATACATCTGTATTCAGTATCAGACGGTTCATCCCTCAGGGACAAACATAATAGTCTAGATATTCCTATTTATTTTTAAATATTATTTCAAAATGAATATTATATTTGAAGGTTAAATAGACGTTTCAATAGAAATACTATTTAAAAAATAAGATGCGACTCTTGTTTTATAGAACGCAACCCGGAAACACCTCCATCGTCCGTGGTGTATTTCCGGTTGAAATAGGTCACTGTCTGTCTGTTCTTGTGTGAACGTGCTTGGTTACGTGTTTCTTTTATTTGACTGCGTTCTTAAACTTTACATAAAAATCTGTTTATTGTTAATTCTCGTCTGTTGTCGCGGGTCTCCCTCGGAGTTGTCTCGTCACTAAGAAGTTTGTGGCTTTAAAAAGCGTCACCTCTGCGCTGTCTCTTAGCTTTAGCGGTTAGTACCATTTGCACTAATATAACGTTTATATGAACGTAAAACGCTGGAATTAAGAATTTACTGTGTATAATCTCAAATTTTACTTTTATTTTTCACTACTAGCTTTGCATGAGCTCACTGGAATCTTGTGGCCTCATGTTAAAGTCCAACAGATATCCGTGTTTAATTCGGCAGTAATAATATTACCTCTGGAAATACGTACCTGAATAAAGTCGTACATTAGTGCTCGCACGGTGACAAAATAAAAAAAGGGGTCAAACGTGTTTAATTCTTCACTCTTGTGTTTCAGGGATGTTGTCGGTGTGGAGCCTGAAGCCACTGCTGACGTCAATCTCCCAAGGTCAGTTGTCACATCCCAAACTCCACTGATTTGGAACTAGCTCTAATATCACAGACTGATGTTTCAGTCAGAATCTCACAGATGAAGCGGTTCTGTTAGTCTTGTAATAAGAAGAAATGACCTCAGTAGTCATGATCACATGACAAGCACCTCAGACGATTGGTGGAAGCAGTGATGGAGGAAGCAACGATGACATCTTCGATTATTATTATTATTTTTACTTTGTGTTTTTTGAACACACACAAAGAAAGTTCCATATTGTTGCTGCGGCCAGTCGTGTCTTTACTGACCGCTGGCCTCTTTGTCAACATAGGAGCTGATAAAATACACATTTTTAAATACTTACTTGAATGTTAGAAATGATAAGAGTTAAGGTTGTGGTCATTTTAAAAGATTTGGTTTTCTCTCCTCAGTTTCCCATCATGCCTCTGTGTGGACACGGCCCCTTCTCTCCAGAACCATGGCCACGTTGAATCAAATGCACCGGCTGGGAAAACCTAAATCTCCGCCCAAAGCCTTGGGAGCAACGTTCGGCCGCCCACAGCTCAAAGCTGTGATCCTGAAGACAATGATCCGGAAACCCAAGAAGCCCAACTCAGCCAACAGGAAGTGCGCCCGTGTGCGTCTGTCCAATGGCAAGGAGGCAATAGTGTACATTCCTGGGGAGGGACACAACCTGCAAGAGCATAATGTGGTGCTGGTCGAGGGGGGGCGCACTCAGGACCTGCCTGGTGTCAAGCTGACGGTGGTGAGAGGAAAATACGACTGTGCACACGTGGTGAAGAAGAAACAGTAGGGGGGATGATGGCACAGCAGGGACTGTTGAAAATATAATTTTGACTTTTTTTATAAAAATGAAGACATCCCAGAGAGACTGCGAACCTGCTGTGATATTTTGGCTTTCATCATAGGATCTCAATTGTTGTTCTGGACTTTGAGACAAGTTGCTGCTGTTTAAACAATAAATATTTGTGAATAGAGCTCACTTTAAACAATGCCTTTATTTTGAAAGGCATTTTTTTGGCTTCAGTGGTTGTATGTAGACATTACACAACAGCAGGCGCCCCCTACTGTCAATATGGTCGCGGACAGAGGCTGTCCTGAAAACAGGAGAAGTGATGCTTTGTTTATTAAAGACTCAACTAATAAAAATGTGTGAAGTCTGTTTCTATATTTCACTGATGAAATATAATTTTATCCTTCCATCCAGTCTTTGGTGTGGCAGACAGAGTGGTTAACAAACGTAACAGTTTCCTGTTGTAATATTTTCAGACATGATGACATGGAAACTTTTTTAGTGAAAACTAATGTGATACTTCGAATACATTTCGAATGAAGAACAACTATTTATGTTTTGAACTTCCTCCTGCATCTTTCTGTATAAATTGATTGTCGTTATTTATGCCTTATTTGTTCGAAGCCACAATATTGATTTGATATTGTCGTTATTTATGCCTTATTTGTTCTGCACAAATCGGAGCCAAAATATTGATTTGACGGGTCCTCCAATCTGGAGGCGGCGCTGCTGAGGTCAAAGTGCTGGACGCTTAATAGCGTCAAAATCTTGCAGGAAGATGAAAAGCCGAAGTTCTTCGTTGTCAGAGTAAGTTTGTTTGTTTTTCTCCACTGGACTGAGTTTATCTGTCTTTCCATATCAACACAACGGAGACAATGTAACATTTTTGGGATGAGACAGAAAAAAACAAACTGTTCTTTGCTCGTGAAAGACGGCAACATCGCAGCTAAGCTAAGCTAAGCCAACATCGTCAACAGAGACTTAACTAAAGCACAACCTCAGCAGATACCGCCTTGTCTAACATGTAGCAAACACGTCGTCTGTTTTATCTTACATTCTCAGCGTGTTTAACGTTCTTGGTGGACTGACAGACAGCTGACATACATGCATTATTTAACAGTATCAGTGTACTTAAAGGCTAACCTTTAGCTTCAGTAGCTATTGCTTTGCCCCGGGTATGCTGCATTTAAACAGCAGCAGGTAGCCGTATCATCGATGTTGTCAGTGGGTCAGAAGTTAGCGTCACTTCTGTTACCAGTACCAACGTTTTTCACTATGTTTCGAGGTTAAAGGTAATCTTAATTTATCAACGTCACAGTGCTAAGAAGCTCACCTTTAGCTTCAGCTAACAGTTGACGTGCTTATTTTTTAAATTCACTACGTTAATTATTCCAATGTAGCATTTTTTTTAAAGATGCAACCGCTCCCTGTTTGTGATTCTCTGTCATTTTTATGACCATGTTTGGAAGTTAAAAAAACAACAACACTGATCTGCATTTTCCATGAGTTAAAAAACCCAACAGTTACAAAATTTTGATGATTTCCAGATCAGATATGAGAGCAGAAAATAAAAAAAATGTGAAAAAAAGGAGGCTTCTCTTTCCTGATTTTCTACTAGAGCCCTGGAGGAAGAAGAATATTCACCTGTAGGAGGAGGGTATGATGAGGAGGTGAAGGTGGTGATTAAAAGTTAAGCAGGAGCAGAAGAAGAAGAAGAAGATGGAGAAGACGAAGAAGATGGAGAAGATGAAGAAGATGGAGACGGTGGAGACAGTCAGCAGCTTTCAGATCCAGATTCAGGGTTGAGACAAGTTTTTTTTTCTTTGTTTTTTTTTTTTTTTTGCACAATCAATAAAACCTAAGTGTTAAAATATTGCTGACTGACACAGATAATACTGAAACAATATAAACAGGAATATTTATTATACCATTGAAACATGAAACATTATTAACTAACAGTATTTTGAATTCTGAAAATACTGCTCTTTGTTCACCATTATTACCAACAATGTTTATGAATAATATTTAATGATAATAAATGTATTATAAATGAACCCCCCCTCCTCTCTGGCCTCTTCCTCTTCTTCTTTAACATCTCTCCCTCCTGTTTCACCCCAACCGTCTGTTTGACCAGGACGTAGGAACAAATTTGTCCACATAGCCACGTGTGTAAAGTTGGTAGCGTAGATTTTTTAAAAATCAGTTTCACTCTTATGAGGAAGTTTAAACATCATGATGTGAAGGATAAATTCAACAGGTGAATTGTTGGTGACTAAATAGCAGCTGTACATCAGGAAACTGCTTTGTCTCTCCTCCTGGTTCTGTGACGTTAATGTTCATCTCACTTCTGCAGATGAGGGGTCTGATCATAACGTCCACGCGTCACTGACACCACCGCACGAGGCTCCAGCAAAGAGGAAGCGCCACCGTCGACGCTCCGAACCCCGTCACCACTGCCCCCAGTGCGAGCGGGTGTTCTCCTGTCCGTCACGGCTGGCTGACCACATGTCCGTGCATGGGGCTGAAAAACGCCACGTGTGTCCTGTGTGTGGGAAACGTTTCACCAAGAGGGTAAATATGGTGGTGCACCAGCGCGTCCACACCGGGGAGAAGCCGTACTCCTGCCCGGACTGCGGCGTCAGATTTGCTCAGCAGGGATGCTTGAGGCGCCATCGCCTCACCCATGGCACAGAGAAGCCCCACCGCTGTGGTGTCTGTGGGCGGGGCTTCTTCCAGCGCCGTTACCTGGTGCAGCACGAGCGCAGGCACACGGGCGAGCGACCGTTCTCCTGCATGATCTGCCCCAAACGCTTCGCCTCCAGATCGGGCCTCAGTGACCACCAACACACCCACCAGGAGACCAAACCGCTGTCGTGTGCACTCTGTGACAAGGTCTTCTCCACGCCCTCGTCCTTCAGGGACCATGTCAGGATCCACACCGGAATCAAACCACACCCCTGCACTCTGTGTGGCAAAAGCTTCAACCGTCCAGGGTTGCTGAAGAAACACCTGGAGAAGCACCAGCAGGAGGAGGAGGAGGGGAACAATGAGGAGGCAGCCAGGAGGGTGAGTCTGCCACCAGTGATGTCATTAATAACGCCGTCATCGGTGACATCTGCTGGCCACAGGTTTTGAGTTAGCTGTGTAACAGGATTTAAAATGTGTCCAGATTCAGGTGAAGTCAAAGAACAAAAATATTTAACTTATCTATATCTACTACAAACACAGATTAGTTCAAAGTCACAGTTTACTTTTAGCTGTTGAAGACTTGAAGACTTCTGGCTTTGAACCCTCTCACCTGCTCTATAAAAGGCAGGCTATACGTTTGACTGTACCAGGACTGCTGTAGCTAATGTTAGCTCTGGTGTCTTTGCTAAAAGCTTTAAAAAGTTTTACATCGAGTGCACACTGTTGACTTGCAGTACTTCAGAGATAAGAAAAATCTTTATTGAACAATTTTCACAACCATGATGTCATTCAAGCTGATGTTAAAAAAAAAACCCTTCACCTCCTGTTCATCTTTTTCTGCTTGTCAAGGACCTTTAGGTGCATTACTGCCACCTACTGGACAGGGAAGTGTGCATCAATGTGGATTGTGTGACAGGAATTAGGGAGCTGAGAAATCAGACCTGTTTTATGTTGTTGTCTGTCAGCCTGATAAATGACGGCGACTCAAACGATTGTCTTCAGGGTGAAACTCCGTACTGCTGCCTCCTGTGTCATCAACACTTCCCCAGTGCTGAGAAGCTGCAGCAGCACGAGCAGCTCCACCAGAGGGTGCTGCGGCGCACCTGCCACATCTGCGGCCGTCTTTTCAGTAGAGCCACTCACTTGAGAGTCCACCTCAGGTCCCACACCGGGGAGAGACCGTACCAGTGCGACATCTGCAAGAACCGCTTCACCACACGGAAGGTTCTGAAGAAGCACCAGGAGGTCCACACCCGAGAGGGCCCGGCCAGAGCCAACGGCAAAAAATCCCCGGCGTCGGCAGAGGAGGATCAGCTACCACCTCACTGTTCGGTGTGTGACAAGACGTTCAGCACTACAGTCAAACTCAGAGCACACCAGAAGTACCACAACAAACGTCACTGCTGCAGCATCTGCTCCAGGACCTTCCTGAAACCCTGTCAGCTCCGACAGCACATGAGCACCCACGTCAGGGATGGGCTCATCGCTCCCCCTGCTGACCAGGTGAGGCCTCTACACTGTGTCCTGTACTAGGAAGAAGGACCAAAGGAAAGGCTGAGGTTTAGGACAGTGGAGACCAGAACTAAGGTCTAGGTGAAGAACAGGAAGAGCTCAGTGAGTGCCTGAAGTACGTACAGTGACTACAGCATCGACTCGTTTATCATAATGATGATGATAATAATAAAAAGCCAGTGCAGTGGAGACTGTCATCCTCCTCCTGATCTCTTGGGGGCACCAGTGCCTCCCAGAGTTGACATCAACATAATTTTTTTCTTTTGTTTCAGGAATTCTGGTTCAACATTCAGACAGTAAAGGTGGATGATGTGAAGGTGGAGGGGGAGAGCGGTAGAAATGAACAGGTAAGAAAAAGTTTTGTAATTGGAAAATAATGGTCTCCACTCCCTGGCAGCAGGTGGCGCCCTGCATTGTCACCAGCCAAATCTCTTCCTTACTTTGGTTCTTCACAATAACAAACGAATACAAAATGATTCTTCCAAGAGTCTGGTAGTACTGTAGTCCTACCACCAGATGTCACTCATCCTCGAACACTTTCAACGCCACGGTGTTTCTGCCAAATGAGTCAGTTTATTAACAACACTCCAGGTGTTTATTTGATGAATTAACGTATAATAAAAACCTAATAATGCTGAAGAATTCTGGTTCTTCTCTGTGTTTCTGCCCTCTGACCCCACAGGACAGAGGAGATTCATCCAGAGAAACCAAAAGTGTTGACCAGGACCAGTCAGTACCAAAGAAGAAGATCAAGGTGGAAAGAGATGAAGGAGAAGCTGGAGGTCTGATCAACTCAGACGGAGAAGAAGAAGAGTGGAAACAAACAACCACTGGTTTGTTCTTTCATCGATTTTACCAATGACACTGTGACGTCTCCATCTGCCTGGACCAATCCTCATAGAGAAAATCAGTGATTTAAGCTCACAGACACCGATGTGGTTTATCCATTTTTTTGGTGCACTTTCTACTCATATAGATCCTTCATGGGCTTGTTTTAGCAGCAGGTGGCGCTCAAAGCGCGGTCAAAACTCCCTTTGTGTCAGTAATTTAAACATTTTTAAAGCAAAACTCCCTTTGTGTCAGTAATTTAATTTTTAAACATTTTTAAACATGTAGTTAAAATCCCCCTAGACTTGAGTGTGTGTGAAGTTAGACTTGTTTTTGTTGAAGTTGATGTCTTTCTGTCTGACAGGACCAGCTGTGGTCGTGCAGACGACGACGACGCCGGCGGCAGGCGGCGTCAGTGGCGCTAAGAAGAGGTTCTGCTGCCCTGTCTGTGGCCGCGACTGCTTCAAGGACTCTGCCCTGAAGAACCACCTGAGGATCCACTCAGGAGAACGACCGTTCCAGTGCAGCACCTGTGGGAAGAGCTTCACGCAGCACGTTCACCTGAGGGAGCACATGAGAATCCACACGGGCGAGAAGCCGTTCACGTGCGGCGACTGCGGCCGCAGCTTCACCTTCTCTAGCGCACTGCGTCGTCACAAGCGCGTGCACACGGGCGTGCGGCCGTACCAGTGCACAATCTGCCAGAAGACCTTTAAACAGCAGAGCGTCCTCAAGAAACACGAGTCCACGCACTCTGCAGTTCGCTTCCAGTGTCCGCTCTGCAGCAAGAGCTTTAGGACCGCCCATGAACTCACCTACCACGCCCACCAGCATGACGCCAAGCGCTACTACTGCGAGATCTGCAAAAAGAACCTGAGCGGCGCCAGACAGTTCCGTGACCACATGAAGGACCACGAGATCACCAGCATGCTTCTACTGGGAGGAGCAAAGGACATGTCAGCCACGTCGGATGCCACCTAGTGGCTGTAAAGCATTCCAGTTCTGGGAAAATTCATAAACCTTTGGGAGCAAAATCGCAGGTCAGTGAAGAGTCCAAGTCTTATGTGCTTAGACAGAACTAGTCTGAAGATGAGCTTCAACATCAACATGACATTGATTTTTTTTGTTTGTTTTTTGTTTTTTCAGAGCGACTTATTAAAGTCACCCTGAGGAGTTTTCAGGAACGCAGCTGTCAACATCCTTCAGAGAATTCTTCAAAAACTAAAATCAAACCACGTGGGGGCAGTGTCTCAGAACACCGCCCCCTGCTGGCAGCACACAGACAGTGGTCTTCCAAAAGAGAGTTGATGATGCTTGTTACCAAAGTGAGCCTGCAGATGTCGCTGCAAAGATGGCGAGAGGTTTGAAAGGGTTATTCACCCTGTTGGTGGCGCTGAAGAGGCAAAGAGAGATTTATTTACCTGTATTCCCTGGAATTCTGTCCAACTTTGATCTCATTGACTGTGAAACGTGACTCCTGTAGTAACGCCATGTTACCTGTGAGGGTGCTAATGAGCCTTGTTAGCTCAGGATCCTGACTGGAATAAATGATGAAGCAGAAACGTTCTTCTGATTGACCTCGTCTCTGCTCAACCATGGAAGTCTTTAAAAAAATAAATGTTCGGCCAGTCGATATGCTGACGAGGTGTGAGCTGTGTAAAAAAAATAGCATTATATTGATAATTATATATTATATATATATATATAGAACTTCTTTGTTTCACAAAGCACCTGGAATTTCCATCCCATCTCAACCTTATCCCAGCATGCATTTGCTGGGGCTTCCACTTGAGGTCAGCGTTTTGTTTTCCGTCTGTCCAGCCTCACTGAGTGGTAGGTAAGTCTGAGACGAGCTGACTGAAACTTTTTGTCAAATGGATTGTTCTGGACTGTAGACTAATTCATGTTGTTGACGACAACGACTTCACTGAGGCTTCGATTCGACTCGACGGTTCTACAACGAAATGTAGATGAACAGAAATGAGTGAAATCCATCAACTCTTTGAAACAAAGATTTGAGGAGATTTTTTTTTTTCAAAAAATATTTTCACAAATAAAAACAGGTGTGAAACATATGCTAATCTACCTGCTGTTGTCTTTCTGTTCTTTCAATGTACAGAACATAAACAAATAGGTACGTATTTATAATGTATACATATATTCGTCCTAAGGGTGGCAGTAGATCCACTGGCTTCATCCCTAACAGACAGAGGCTCTCTCAGTGGGCGTGGTCAGAACGCTGAAGCCCCGCCTCTTGTTGAGCTGTAGGATAAAACAGAGTGAGCACAGCGAGCACTCAGTTTGAGAACCGTCGTCTCCTCTCTCCTCCTTCACAGGGTTTTGAATCTTACTCTTCCAACATGTGGACGCTACTCCCTCTACAGGACGTTCTTGGCAACAGCTCAAAGAAAAATATGACAGAAACTCTGGACTGGAATAAGGTCAGATACACACACACACACACACACTCTTTTCACCTCATCTTTTATCTTTGTCCAGAGTGTTTTTGTTTTGTTTTTTTCTTACATTTTTTTTTTGTGTGTTTTGTGTCGTCGTCTTGAGCAGCTTTGAAAAACAGTTGGCTATAAATTTTTTTTTTAATTTGCCAGTTTGATAAAAATAATTCATATTATTTAGATTTTAAAAATTTAGATTTTTTAAAATTATTTTATTAATATTTGGCCAAAAACCAAATGAATCTACAAACACTCTTTGTGACATTGCGGTTGTTGTCTCTGCAGGTGAAAGAGGGCGTCAGGTACCTTCAGCTGCTCCTGGCCCTGCTCAGGTCAGAGGTCACCACACAACACTGCTGTCATCATCACTGCTCTGTCACACTGTGTTCCTGTTTTGGTAAAGGCTCCCATTGGTCCTGACATCATCACGTGTCCCTAATGTTGACCTGTCTCTCATCCACAGTGTTGTCGGTTCCGGTTTAATCATCAGCTTTGTGATGTCACAGAGACTGGGCCGCAAACCTGAGGTTTGATTCTCACTTTGCTCTTTTGTTCCTGAGAAATGAAACCTGTCTTAGACTGTGTGTGTGTGTGTGTGTGTGTGAGTACTGTTCACTCTTCATTTCTGTGTTTGACTGTGACATCACACTCATCAACATCACTCTCTGTTATTACACATGTTTAACAAATGTTTTGATTTATTTTTGTTCTCTGCAATGATTTCATTCAATTGTTATTATAAAACTGAGGAAAAAAACAACAGTATTTATGTTGTATTTTGGTTCACTCTACTTGTACTGTAGATATTTTGCCCCATGCTGCAATTTTCACACTTTTTTAACTCACGGCGACAGGAGCTGCTGGCCCAGTGCTGCCATCCTGTGGTTGTTGTTAAATGTTTCTTTGGCTCCGACGTGATGTAAAGACGTTAAGGTTATGTTTCATGTTATGGTGATGATGTCATCCGTGTCGTTTGCAGATGCAACCATTGCTACTCCTGTGTGTGTCCGACTTCCTGCTCGCCTTCTGCTGGCTGTTAGGAGCAGCCATCTTTTTCGAGAACAGGGGCAGCATGAGCACACACTGCTACAACATGCGAACACTGGAGCAGGTAACACACACACACACACACACAGATCATGATCATGATCGTGTACAGATTCTGAAACGTTATTCCAAACCAAACCTCCTGGAGAAAGTCAGTGATTTCCTCCACAGAGATGCAGCAGTTGTTGATCCACTGCTGTGTTGGTGCGTGTGCAGCTAAAATCACTCATTTTCTCTATGGACTTTGGTCTGTGTGTGGTGCATCTGTTCCTTTATTCTAAAGATCCACATCTGTCCACGTCATCACTTCTCTGTTCCCTGTTACTTGTTAGTTCAGCTGCAGATGAATACATCTGCTGTGATATTTCATTTTCAAAAGGGAAAGTTTGCAGTTTTTTTCCTCCTCATTTGTTTGAGGTCGAGGACTTTCCCCTCAATATTCAGAATCAGGAACCGTCACCTGTTCTCACATGGCAACCGCCCAATTGGAAACTTTAAACTTCCTGAGGAACAAACTGTGTGTGTGTGTCTGTGGGTGTGTGTATGTGTGTGTGGGTGGGTGTGTGTATGTGTGCGATAAAGGGAAAATTCAGGTGCTACTTGTGATGCTGTTTTCGAAAGATGACCTGAAAGTTAGCATTAAGGTAATGATAGCTGAAAGCTAAGAATCAGATGAAGTTGATGAAGCAGCAGGTGGTCCAAACATGGAGACCCCAGACTCAGCTGATGACCTCTGACCCTGTGCACATTCCACTTTTTTAATGTTGTCAATATGTTTCTGTGCACATTCCACTTTTTTAATGTTGTTAGTGTAAAATATGTTTGTTGACATTCCAGCCAACATTCCTGACCTTCTCCCTTTGTTGGGGAACACACAGATACACACACACACACACACACACACACACACACACACACCACCACTGATGAGCGTCAATGAACGTCACACAAACCTACATACAATAATCCAGTGTGTGTGTGTGTGTGTGTGTGTGTTTTCAGGCCTTCTATATGGCAGCTTTCTTTTTTACCCTCAACTACACCTGGAGCCTCTACAGTGGCATCACAGAGAAGCTGAAAAGCTGTTTCTATGGTTACTCTGTACAGGTGAGTAAAGGCAGCGCTTGGTCTTTGTAACAGCAGGGGGCGCTCCAAACATTGATGCTTCTGTCAGATTTAGGTCCTTGTAGGAGATTAAAGTGTGTGTGTGTGTGTGTGTGTGTGTGTGTGATGTCCTCAGTTTTCTAACAGAGTGAGCACAGCAGGAAGAACCACCGCCGTGCTCTCAGGGTGAGTTCACTGACACTCTGGGATTTCAAGGTTTGTGTCAGAAGCCGTCTCCACAGCCTTGTTGTTTCTGCACCTGTTTCTAGAATGACTCCTCTGCTGCTCGTGTCTCCTGTCCTCATCTATGGAAACATCAGACATTGTCAGGCCAACTTCACTCAGCCAAACAGGTGCGTTCACTGACCACGCTGAAAAACATTACTCTAACGGTGCGTTCACTGACCCGTCTTGTCTTTCTTCTATCATCACGGTGCATTCACTGACCTCACTGATGCAGGTGTCTGCTGATGGAGACTGGAGCTCTGTTTCTGACATCAGAACAGCAGCAGCCAATCAGAAGCTGCCGTCTGCTGCACATCTATGCAATCAGCACCTTCTGCATCACCTTTGTCCTGACTGTGGGCGGAGTCACGGTGAGTTCTGACACGTGTGATGCTGCAGGTCGTTTGACAATTTACTTTAAGGACCGAGTACAAAGTCTGTCCTCCTCGCCTGGACAGGTGTTGGCAGTGAAGGCGTGGCGTCTCCAGCGGCGGCTGGTGACATCAGCAGGCTACATGGGCACTGAGCAGAGGGCATGGCTGCGTGTGATTGGCTGGAGAATGCTTCTCTACCCTCTGATCTTTGTCTTCTGCTGGGGACCAGGTCAGTGCTGTCCTCACAGCAGCTCTGTGATTGGCTGTCAGTCTGTGAGTTAACTCTGTGTGTGTGTGTGTGTGTGTGTGTGCACAGTGGCAGCATTAACGTTCCTGGATGTGCTGAATCCCACACTGAATCAGGGAAAAGTGGGCGTCGCCCTCTACATGTTTCAGGTGAGTCATGTGACTTGTCATGTTTTTAAAGTAAAATGTTTAGTAAAACTAAACACTAAAAGTGTTAGAAAAAAAATCGTTCATCCATCTTTTTTTTTTTTTTTTTTAACGCCTGTCCTCAGACTTTGACCTCGGTCTCTCATGGTTTCCTCAACTCTCTGGTCTACTGCTGGACTCACCTGTGTCTCCGCCACACCAGCAGGGCGGCGCTGTGCAGAGACATGGACACTCAGACACCTCTGCTGTCGTCACAGAAGAACCAACCGCAGAAGAGGAGCTACAGGGCTCTGAGCTGAAGCCTAGCCTGCAGAGGGCGATGGACCCTCCTCTCTGAAATGGCTGCAGTGCCACTGCTGTCCAGCAGGGGCTGATGCCCACAGACCCCTGTTTGAAAAAAATCAACAACTTCTTTTATGAAAATCTTTTTGTTATTTCTTTCAGTTTAACTGAAACGTTGGCTTTCTTTGCTCGGAGGTTTAAACCCCTCACTGGCCTTGTGTGTAAACTCAGATTACAAACAGATGGTGGCGCTCTGATTTTGTAGGAACAGCAGGATGATGGTGAATGGCTCTCAGGAAAAGGGAAGGAAGACAGGAAGAGAAAAAAAGATTTGGAAAAAGAAAGATTTCACCACTCACTGCTCATGGGACCCCTGCTGGTTAGTCTGTGAACTGCACTGTCATCTGTCACTATCTGTGACAACATTTTAATGCAAAATACCTAAGAATTAGCTGCGAAGGAAGCTTAGCTGAGACCCGGACTTGGTCCTGTGGTTCTCAAACTATGGACAGAAAGCAGTATGAATAGATATAGGTTTAGTGCAGCTGTGATGTATTTTCACCTACTCTGTGTGTGTGTGTGTGTTCTAGTTGTAGTACTTCTTCATTGTACAGGGTGTCATTAATAAACTGGTCTCATCTGAACAGTGAAGGTCTGTGCTGCTAGATCTGAACTTGGTCCTACTGCTGGTACTGCTCGTAAAGGTGGTCACTGGTCAAACTGGTCACTGGTCAAACTGGTCACTGGTCAAACTGGGAGAGACAAATACTTTCAGGTGGTGCAGGGAATAAAAACCAGCGTGATGGAGTGAGGGAGGGGAGAGAGTCTCCCTCTCCCTCTCCCCCTCCTTGTTTGTTATGTGAGTTACGTAACCTTTGACCCCCGGCCGACAGTGACATAATCACATTCTGGGGCTTCATCACGATTCATTAAACCCTTTGACGTTTGTTCATGTCCACAAACAAACAGCGGCAAGATAAAAACACGTTGACTAAAATTCCCAGAATCCTGTGGGGACACGGTGTGGACACGGACAGAGACACTCAGTGATTCAGTGTCAGTTTAATTAAACGTTGTTTTTTGTTTACATGTGATCACGAGACATACAAATCAGAGCGAAGCTGCACAGCGGTGCCCCCTGCTGATCTGCAGATCACGTGTCTCCTCCTCACTGGTTCATCATTCTTCTGGAGCCCAGGTGACAGTTGTCCAGCAGCAGGTTGTAGTCTGGCCCGCCCTCACGCACAAAATCAGAAACTGTCTTTGTTCCCTGGAAATCTCTGCTGGCGACGGGCTGAAAAAACATGACTTTGGATCAACGTCCTGAACTTTAGAAAATACAAAAAAAAAAAAGTTTGTCCTGCAGTCGTATGAGGACGTGAACGTGACGTCAGAGACTACAGCTGACCAAGTCTTCAGGACGGAGGCTCTGGAAAAAAAAACTCACCTCCCAGTTTCGACTCATGTGCCGGGCGTCAGTCACGACAGTCTGAGAGGATATTCCGTATCCGTCTCCTTTATGGACAAGGAACTGCCGTCCGTCTCCCAGTGTCACTCTGACAAACAAACAAACATTTACTTCTCAGCTCTCTTTTTTTTTTTTTTGCTTCTGATGCTTTGCTCTGACTCCACTTCACCTTCAACCTGTACAAACTAGACTAGGCTCCATCTGATACTCGGGATCGGAATCGATCCGATATTGGTCAAAAGTTCAGGATTGGATATCACAGAAACCCACTGTCCTCCAACCGATCTGATAATGTTTGGTTACTGACCACGGAAGCCTGGCTGGACATTTCCCTCTTGGTATCCCTATGAAGGAAGGTATGTGATTCCAGCCTGGACTTCAGCCCTATTCATGCCCCCCCCCCACTCCCCACCTGCCCTACTCACCGAACCCCAGAGTGACTGATTGGTCCGAGCCAGCTCGACATTCCCTCCAGCGGCCTCTTCATCCGCTCCACGTTGTAAACGGGCGCATTGTAGAGTCGGGGTGGG